TTTAAAGGTTAAAAAACTCATTCAATTTTATGTCTTACAGGGCTTATACTGAGTTCAATATTGTAGAACTGTATGAACTATGAACCTAGAAACTTGTACCAACTTGTGAAAGAGATGTATTCTTGCTCTGGTATGTGTTACTGAATGTTAAATCTGTAGTGAAATGCTTCTTCTAATCATGTAGTTACTAAAAATTTTTAAAAATAACGATTAAAAAAATAGGAAGAATTAGTAGATGTGAAAAGCATTACCACTGAAATCTACCTGATGATTTTATATCTGTGCTCAGACGCCAAGGAGCTCAGAAAGTAACCGACTATCACTAGTAATAATCAGGTATATAGAGGTTAGAAACACATGTGCAAACATCTTAATGTCAATTGCATTGAAAATGAATTTTTCTGTATGAAACTCTGTATTTTAATAATGAAATGGAGATCTTTTTTAAAAGTTAAAACCTCATTTATCTCTTATAGGGTTTATACTGAGTACAATACTGTAAACTGTAATAGTTCAACTATAAAGCTAAAAATTTACAGCCAATTCTAAAAAAGATGCATCTTAGGTCAGAATATTGTTATTGACTATGTCCATGCTGTTGTAATGAAATGCTTCTTCTATGTGGTTATTAAATAAAGAATTAACAAAACAAAATTTATGTAGATTTAAAAAGTTGTTAAATTCTTGGTGTTTTTAACTATCCTAATAATCTCTAAAATACATTAAGAAAAATACTGCATGTTTAGTACAATACCTTTTGTTTACAACAAATAATATACTAAAATATTAATGTTTTTGCTTATAAATGTAAAGAATTTCTCTGAAATTATATGCAAAACCTGCTATAATAGATTGCTTCCAATATTCAATGACTATTACTACACAAGACCTTACTTCCTCAGTCTTGGATCTATCAGTGTGCTCAAAACAAACCTGAGGGCTAGAGAGATAGCTCAGTGGTTAAGAGCACTGACTGCTCTTGCAGAGGACCAGAGTTCAATTCCCAGCATCCACATGGTAGCTATGAACCGAACTGCCCTTAACTCCAGTTCCAGGGGAATCCGACACCCTCTTCTGACACATGTGCAGGCAATATACTCATACACATAAAATAAAAATAATTTAAAAAATATTTTTACCCCCCCCCCCAAAAAAATCGTATGCCCTTCTGGCATCTATACTGCAGTCACATGGAACAAGACAATAAAGATGTAACTTACTTATATAATCATTAAAAAGTGTTAACGCATGTATGAAGGGGAAAATATGTAAACAGTATGTATGACAGGGGAAGGGAAGGAAAAAGGGAGAGAGGAACGTGGGAGGGAAGGGGGGAGGGAGGGAGGGAGGGAGGGAGGGAGGGAGGGAAGAGAGGGAAGAGAGGGAAGGATAAGGAATGGCAAAGGGAGGAGAAGCAAGCATGAACAGAAAACACAGCACAGCTATGACGACAGACCTTGAAATCTCGACTACGTGGACAGCAGAAAGACCTCCATGAAAAAGAACTGCTAGAGTTGTGGTGATCAGAGTGAGGAGGATTAAAAGGTCAGCATGTGAGATGGCTGAAACCAAAATCTGGGAAGCGATTAAAGTATTGTAAAAGCAAGGTCTAGGATGGCATAAACTGGTCAGGGAACCGACATCAGCAAATGAGATTAAGGATTGCATTTAACTGAGATAGCACAATTTTACTGATAGGGACACACAAAGGCAGTAGCACAGAAAACACACAGAGATTACACACACTCTTGCACACAGAACACAATTTTTTGTATTACACAAGGACGAATTACACAAAATTATTTTTAAAAATTATCATTATTTTTACTCTTTGAGATGTTTCCGCTGCTGCAGCTGCCATGGCAGCAGCCTTAGCCTTCTCAGCTTCATCGTACGTAGGAAGAGAGGTAGCAACGCTATAGGGAGGTGGCACAGGGTAAAACTCACTGTACACTTCAGTATCTGAGGAGAAAGAATTTTTTAAAGGACAACCATTAAAAACAATTTAATATAGTTTTATAGTTGTGATCATTAATCTACAATAGGACACTAAAGTTTCTAGTGCTATTATAGTTCTATACTATAATACAAATACAATAAAAAACATTTAATTATATAATCTTATATTTGCCCTATATTTATTATACGGAGATACAGTTAATATCATCTAAAGGCTGACTCAGACTTGGAAACTACCTCAAGAATGATGTTTAACATTGACTGTGTGTGTGTGTGTGTGTGTGTGTGTGTGTGTGTGTGTGTGTGTGTACACTATGTTGCCACTGTGGAGGTCACAGTACAACCTGTGGGAGTGCATTCTCTCCTTCAACTATGTGGATTCCCTGGTTCAAACCTGGGTCAACAGGCTTAGTGGCAAGCGGCCTTAAGTGCTGAGCTATCTCATCAGTCCAAGAATAAGAACTTCAAAAGAAGTCCCAGACAAAGAAGTCAGGAATCTCACAATACATGAGCATCCTGTGTGTGTTTATTGGTCTTCACAAAGGAGTTAGCTTATTTACCCATTATCTCGTAGCCAAAAAAAGTTTTTAAAAATCAGTAATAATAACATTTATAGTGCTAACAACTTCATATATCTTCTTATACATTAATGTTGGTAACTCTGAGGTCCAAAAAAATTAAGTGCCTTGCTGTTCTGACCAAAGAGTAAATAGCAGAACCAGGGAACTCCTCACTCAGAAGACTTTGTTCTGATAACATAAGGGGAAATTTTTCTATATGCTTATTTCAGCATTCACCTTATCTCAAGCAAATTCAGTATTCTTTTTGCTTAAAGACTGATGAATTTTCACTCTCACCCCCTTTTCCTTCCATTTCTCTAATATCCACATACTTCCTTGGACTTTCTTTTTATTAAGAATGTCTCTCAGGCTGGATAGATGGCTCAGTGATTAAGAACACTGGCTGTTCTTGCAGAAGACACAGGTTCGAATCCCAGCACCCATATAGCAGCTAACAACTGTCCGTAACACCAGTTCCAGGGGATCTGACACCTTCTTCTGACCTCTGCAGGCATTGCACGACACGGGTGCACTTATACACAGGCAGGCAATGTACTCATACACACAAAATAAATAAAAATAATAAATAAAATGTTTTTTAAAAAATAAAAATAAAAATAAATGTCTTTCTGAACCAGGCATGGTGGTGCATACCTTTAATCCCAGCACTCAGGAAGCAGAGGCAGGCAGATCTCTGTAAGTTTGAGGCCAGCCTGGTCTATGTAGTGAATTCCAAGCCAGCTGGGGCTACAGGGAGACCCTGTCTCAAAAAGACTGAAAAAAATGTCTCTCTGATTTTTAAGACATTTTTGAGAGTTAGTTTCCAAAAATAAAGTATAGGCTGCTAATTTAAAAAATTATACTCCAGAGTTTATTTCCAGTATAATTAGTTATGCGATGTTCCCCATTAACTGATAACATTTAAACTAGACTCAATAACATGAAAAAGGGAGCTTCTACATTCTATGTTTGACATTTCTTTTAGTTACTTTTTAAATTACTAATTAGTTACTTTTCATTATGGACATGAAATATTTGGAGAAATTACTTATGACTTTTAGAAATTATTAAACTACTCAGAAAGACTACAGTAGTATACAAAATTATACAATCATATAAAGTATATAAAACATAAAAGTGTATAAATTATCAAAATGTCCAATTTAGCACTGCTGAGAAATTATACACTGTGGCCAGAAAAATAACTATGATTAAGATGGCCTGAACAGAGAAAATGCATAGCAGCAAGCAGGAATTGCCATTATATTCAAGAATTATTACCACATACATGGTATGTAGGCCTTTCATGATTGGTCAGACACATCCACTAGGTTCTCTCATCATTAGCTTTTCCACGATGACTTCATTTAATGACTATATACATATATGTGTTATGTGTGGGACTATGTATGTGCATATTTGTCTAAATATTCGTTAACAAGCTGAGTGCAGAGGCACATTCCTACACACCCTATACCCAACACATGGGAAGCTGAGGCAGAAGGACTGTGAAGTCTAGGCTGGCCTGGGCCATACAGTAAGCTCCAGGGCAGCCTTGCTATCTTATATAGCAAGGTCCTATCTCAAAATAAAACAAAACAAAGCAAAGACTTGATAATTATACAAAGCCATATTGTTTAAAAAAAAAAAAAAAACAGGTAAATCATTATTAGCTATTTTATACCTGAAGTTGTAGGTACTTCCACAGTGATGCTACTATAAGGTGGAGGAGAAGAGTCAGTTTCCAGTGCTGGTGCTGAAGGAGCAGCTTGCACGGTCTGTGGTGCTGAGTTGGAAGTAGATGGCTGCTCTACAGCAGATGATTCTGAATTATCTTCTTCATTGTGAAGCTAAGGAACAAAGGAGAAAAAAAAAATTGATGTAATGTGATTTGTCATTTCCCTTTAACTTAAGCTAATTTTTAAAGATTATTTAAAGATCATTGAACTTTTAAATGTATTTCAGGGGGGCTAGAGAGATGGTTCAGCAGTTAAGAACACTTGCTGTTCCTTTAGAGGAGCAGGGTTCGATTCCCAACACTCACATGACAGGTAACAACTGTCTGTAACTCCAGTTCCAGGGAATCTGACACACTCTTCTGGCCACTAGGGCATTGCACACACATGGTGCACTTATATATATGCAGGCAAAACACTCATACACATAAAATAAAAAAAATAAATAAATAAATATAATTCAGGAAAAGGAATCAAAAACATTACACTTCTAGATTAAGAATGTGATTTCAGAAATAAAATTTTAATCAATCAATCAATGCTGAAAAAATGGAATATATTATATGGACAATCATCCTGGTACCCTATAACAAGCTTCTCATATAGTCATTCCAGATGGGAAAGAACCAGGCCTGAGATTCAGTCTCATGACAACTGATTCAAGGTTTGTTCTCACCGATAGCCACCATTGTTAAGCAATCTGATGGCATGTCTGTTCAGTCCTTAAATTCACAATGAATAAGATTCAAACATTTACAGATTCCTTTTTTACTCCCTCAAGTAGAAAAACTTTCCATCAGAAGTACAATGTGGTCCCAACCACTGGGCCTGCTGACTTCCTAGACCAATAGGCAAAAAGTTCTAAGACCCTGACTACTCTGAACAAATTTCTCAGCTCCTGGTACCAACAGGTAATGCATTCCAAAACCTTGATTCTCCCTCCCTCATAATTCTGCAGGTCCCCTAGCTCCTTTGCTGACATGTTAGCAATCCCCAGGCATTATCCCGATGCCCACAATCCCCCTCTCAATCAACTACAGACGCAATAAATAAATAAATAAATAAACAAACAAACAAACAAACTTCTATTAAGAAGCTTAGAAATAGCCAGGCATGGTGGCGCACACTTTTAATCCCAGCACTCAGGAGGCAGAGGCAGACAGATCTCTGTGAGTTCAAGGTCAGCCTGATCTGCATAGAGGCCAGCTGAGGCTACATGGAGACCATCCCAAAAACAAAGACCAAAAAAAAAGATGATACTTAGAAATTTAATGGCTTCTTTTCCACAAAGTTTCAAACTATTAAAAGTTTATAAAGACAGTTGCGTGATTTAAAATGGAGTCAAATTTATATGCTGTAGGTATTAAAGTGTTATCAGTTATTAGGAATGTCCCAGAAAGGAACACAAAAATCCTAGTAACACAGTCATTATACTCCTCTACCACATTTGAATCTATAATACTTTGAGATGGAAATTGAATAATGAAGCGGAATAACACTATACAGACAGTCTAAATATGCAATACTCTTAGGTCTCTCTGAAAAAGGACCAGTTCAGTGAGAGCCCATCTCAAAAAATATGGAGAATAAAGGAAAACACTCAAAATCAACCTCTGGCCTCTATATGTGAATGCATGGGCAAGCACACACTCAGATATATACCACACACATGCAGACACACACACACACACACACACACACACAAATAGAAAATACATACGGATGGAAGGTAATTTACTACAATATTGTTTATGCAATGTACACACTAGAAAAATATTTGCATGGGTTAATAAGCATGTAACTTTTAAAGAACAGTTTTAAATTTTTTTTTAATGTGTATGAATGTTTTGCCAGTGTATAGGTGTGCCCATGTCACACAATACCTAGAGGGCAGAAGAGGGCATTGAATCCCCTGGAACTGGAATTACAGATGGTTGTTAGCCAAGGTGGGTGCAGGGAATCAAACCTGGATCCTCTGCAAGAGCAGTCAGTGCTCCTAACTACTGAGCTATCTCTCCAGCCCCATAAGTGTAAAATTTTAATATAACTATCATAAACATACCAAGTCATTTCTCAAGTTACTAAATTCTTCTCATGCATATCACATCAAGGTTGACCAATAAAATCAATTCACAGAAACTGAATTCTAAGTCTAAAATAATCATTACATGAATTTTTTGTCTTTTTGAGACAGGGTCTCTCTGTAGCCACATCTGGCCTGGAGTCAGGATGGAGACTAGGTTGGCCTCGAACTAACAGAGATCTGCCTGTCTCTGCCTCCTGAGTGCTGGGATGAAAGGCGTGAGCCAACACACCCTGCTCAATAACATGAATTTTGTATAAATTTCCTTGTAGCCATTCGGCACCGTTCCTGCTGTTCCATCACATCCTACCCAGGAGAACTCTTCAGAGCTAGTCATCTTTAGCTCATTATATTTTTTTTGACTTTTTAATTTTAATGATTTTTTTTCGGTATTTCATACAGAACATCTTAATCATCTTTATACCTCCTTTCCTACTGGCCCCCTGGAATTCATGCATTCTGTTATTTGTGTTAAGGTCTATCATGTCAAGTTAGTGTCCCCAGATGCTCCTTGGTGCCAGTTCATCCACTGAGGTCTAGTCAGCCTAGAGTCCCTCCCTTTAAGGAGATCATTTCTTACTCACCCAGCAGTAATCAGCTGTCAGTAAGTCTCTAAGATTGGGGTGTGCTGTCCATTTCCATAGTTCTGTGCTAGGTTTTTGTCTCCTTGAGTTTGCACGGGTCTCGTACATCTTGTGCATGCTGACACTACTGCTGTAGGTTCATATGAGAAGGATCCCAAGAGCCTGTAGGATTCTATTTCCATATGGTCATTCACTTCCTCCCTATGTCTTACAATCTTTCCACCCCCTCTTCTACAATGATCCTTGAGCCCTGGGTAGGTAATTTAATATAGGAGCCCTCTCCAAGGACCCACACTCTGTAGACTCTTATTCTCTACATTGTGGCCACTTGTGACCTTCTGTGTTCCTGGCCCTCTGTTGCATGAGGGAGCTTCACTGATGAGCACTGAAAGATGCATTAGTGTTCTCTTCATCCCTTGTTCACATGAGCCTTGGGTGTAGAGGATGCATTGTAGATGTGCCACTTAGGCTTGGGAAATTCACAGACAATCTGTGTATGACCAGTTGTGGAACTCTGTTGAAAAAGAAGCTGCTTTGAAGGGTGGTGATTGGGATACTTGTCTGTACATTTAAAGATCCATATTTTGCACACAGCTATGAGTATTTGGCTATGTTTATAGTACCACACATGAGTTTCCTCCCACTGAGTAGGCTTTAAGGTCCAATTAGGTACCTGTTGATTACTCCCAAGATAAAAGTGCCACTACTGCACTAATGTTGTTTGCTGTGCCAGTTACTGATGTGGTTTTTAGCCTTGACGCTAAGGTTGGACCATTGACTGATTTTCTTCCTTACCAGCTTGTGTGGTGCTCTCCAAAGCTATGAGAGCTAACCTTCAGGGGAGGTGGCTTCCAGGTCAGAAAGTTCCAGCTCTACTGCTCTGAATTCTGTGCCTTGTTCTTCTCTCTCAGGTTCCTTCTTTCCCTTTACCTCTCTGGTTACTTTTCATTTTCCTGGTTCCTGCAGTTACATCAGGATATACACTCACATATAAGGATATGGTGCTAGGATCCACAAATGAAGGAGAACATATGTCGTTTGTTTTTCTGAGTCTGTGTTACTACACTTAGTGTAACAGTTCATAGTTCCATTTACCTGCAAATTTCATTATTTCATCTTTCTTTACTGCTGAGTAAAACTCCATGGTATAAATGAACTACATTTTCATTATCCACTCGTCAGTTGAGGGACACTTAGGTTGCTTCCATGTCTTAGTTATTGTGAAAAGAGCAGCAACAAGCATGGATGTACAAGTGTCTCTACAATAGGATGAGTTCTTTGGGTATACGCCAAGGAGTGGAATAACTGGGTCATATTGTAGATTCATTTTTAATTTTTTGAGAGTTCTCCGCACTGCTTTCCCTCGGAATTGCACAAGTTTGCAATAGCACCAGGAGTGAATGAGTTCCCCTTTCTCCACATCCTCACCAGCATCTGATATCATTTGTTTTCTTGATCTAAGCCAGTCTGACTGGGGTAAGATGAAATGTTAACATGGTTTTAATTTGCATTTCCCTAATTAATAATGATGTTAATCAGTTTTTTGTTTTTGTTTTTGTTTTCTGGTCTTTTTGAGACAGAGGTCTCCCTGTAGCCCCAGCTGTCCTGGAACTCACTATGTAGACCAGGCTGGCCTTGAACTCACAGAGATCTGCCTGTCTCTGCCTCCTGAGTGCTGGGACTAAAGGTGTGTGCCACCATGCCCAGCTTGATCATTTCTTTAAAATTTTATTTATTATTTTTATTTTATGTGTATGAATGCTATGCCTGCATGTAAGGAAGTGCAGCCGTGTTGTGCAATGCCCACAGAGGACAGAGAGGCTGTTGGATCCCCTGGAACTGCAGTTAAGGACAGTTGTTGGCTGCCATGTGGGTGCTGGGATTTGAACCCAGGTCTTCTGCAAGAACAGCCAGTTTTCTTAACCGCTGAGCCATCTCTCCAGCCCCTGTTGATCACTTTTTAAGGTGTTTCTTAGCCATCTTGATTTCTTCTTTTGAGAACTTTCTGTTGAGATTTTTAGCTTATCTTTTAATTGGCTCATCTGTTTTCTTGATTCTTTGTCTTTGAGTTCTTTATATATTCTGGATCTTAAACCTCTGTAAGATGTGTCACTGGTGAAGATTTTTCTCCCACTCTGTGAGTTTTCTCTTCACTTTCTTGGTTGCTTCTTTTGCTGTACAGAAGCTTTTTAGTTTAATGAGGTCCCACTTGTTGATTGTTGACCTTAATTCCTGAGCAACCAGTGTCCCATTTAGAAAATCCTTTCCTATACCTCTATCTTGTAGGTTACTGCCAATGTTTTCTTCTAACAATTTCAAAGTTTCAGGCTTCACACTGAAGTCTGATCCATTTGAAGTTGACTTTTGGGCAGGGTGAAAGATAAGGGTCTAGTTTCATTCTCCTATAGGTTTTCCCAGCACCATTTGCTGAACAAGCATGCTGTCTT